CGACTGTGCCTGTCTTAGGTTGTTCCTCCCTTGAGGAATCTTACCCGTCTCTGGCTAACCAGTCATCTTCCGGGGCCATACAGGGAGATGTAAAGTTGGTAAGTGAGAGAGAAGCCATATTGTTTGAAAAGGTTAGCTTTTTACTTCTTTGCTCAAGTCCCCTTTTTAAGTAAATGTATTTCAGTATAAAGAATGCATAGGTCAAAAGGAAAGTATCAGGTATTTAACAATAAGGGTGCTTACACAAAAAGTTGTGTCTAAACCTTCATAGTAGCATGATTCATAATGGCCAAGAGGTGGAAACAGCCCAAATGTCCATCAGCAGATAAGCACAAGGTGGTCCATCTGCACAAAGGAATATTACTTGGCCATTAAAAGGGACAGCCTGACTCATGCTACAACCTGAACTGAAATACTGAATTTCAAATACAACATTGAAAATACTATGTTAAGAGAAAGACGTCAGACACAACAGGCCACCTTCTGTGTGATCCTCCTTACAGGAAGTGTCCCCAGTAGACAAAGCCAAGGAGACGGGAAGGCGCTGGGAAGAGAGGGGGGGTGATGGCTAATGGGTCAGGGTTTCTTTTTGGGGTGATGAAAACATTCTGGAATTAGATAGTGGTGATGGCTATATAACTTGTGAATAGGCTAAAAAGCACTGAATTTCTACACTTTCTAAAGGGCAAATTTTAAGGTATGTGAATTACATCTTAATAAAAAATAGGGGGGGGAGAGAATGCGGGTGCTCTGCCAACGTGGCAAACAGGAGTCTTAGAGCGAGCGGCCGGGGCAGGGCTGGTGCCCTGCAGGGGCCGGCTCGCGCCTGTGGCTTCAGTGACATTGCCCTGGGGACAGCCGAGCTCCCTCTGCAGCTCACTGGGCAGCTCCTGCTCAGCGCCGGGGCCCTGCCCTCTGGGCCCTCGTGCCACTGGGGCCTCCCGCCTTGTGCCCACAGCATCTCTAACAAGGAGCTGTCCGAGCTGATCGAGCAGCTGCAGAAGAATGCCGACCAGGTGGAGAGGAACATCGTGGACACGGAGGCCAAGATGCAGAGCGTGAGTGCCCCCCCGCCCCGAGGGCCCCCTGCGCCTCCAGCCCCACTCAGGACCAGGGTCTTGCGTGACCCTGTGGCTTCTCACTTGGGGGTGATTCTGCCCTGCAGGGGACGTGTAGTCAGGTCAGGAGACGTGACCCAGCCCCAAAGGTCAGCAGAGCTGGGGTGGAGGAACTCGGAAGAGAGACCCGGGGGGCTGTAGTTCAGCCCCCAGCCCGGGTCATGTCTGGACGAGAGCCCTGGTCTCAGAGACCAGGCCCCAGTTAGGACCCCCGCTTTGCCGTCACTGTGTGACCTTGGATAAGTACCCTTACCTCCTGTGAGTGATGCCCTCTGGAAGGAGTCACGCCATCTCCTGGGCTGCCACAAGGATTTGTGGGGACTACACAGTGTGGGGTCACCACAGCCTCTACTCAGATGCATGTGAGCCTCCTCCTTTCTCAGAGGGGACAGAGGCCGTAGCTGGGCTAATCACCACCCCTCCCGCCGCCCGTGTGCCCCAGTTTCCTCTTCTGCTGTCTGGGGCTAATGCTCACCTTGGGCCGGTGGGCGCTCTGGAGTGTTCTGTGCCATGCAGACACTGGAGCAGCGCTCGCACTGTGAGCTGCTAGGGTGACCGTCTTCTCCCTGAACCCTCCGCCAGCCCAGTGGGGTTGAGTTTATACCCATTCTGTAGCTGGACGGACTGAGGTTCAGAGAGGGCCGGGGTGACTAGTCCAGGGACATGACTGGCCCCAGGATCATTGGGCAGGTGGAGTTGCCAGATTTAGCAAATAAAGATACAACGATCCAGGTAAATTTGAATTTCAGAACACAGTTTTTTTTTTGGTATAAGTGTGTCCCATGCACTATTTGAGATATAATCTGTGTTTATGAAATTTGAATTTACCTGGGCAATCTGTGTTTCATCTGCCTTCTTCCCCAGGTGATGACTCAGAGTTGGGTCCAGGAGATGGGGGGATTGTGGGTAGACAGGTGCTAAGGGAACTCAAGGCCTGGCAGCTCCAGGTGGTCCCCAGGCCCAGCCGTGGCGGCCCCCGCCTCTGACCACCCAGGGCCAGCCCACAGGTGCCCCAAGATCTGAGGGGGGCAGTGGTGGGCTACCGGCCGGGCTGGAGTGAGAAATGGGGCGTGCGGACTGCGGGGGCAGGAGGGGCAAGTGGGGACTCTGCTCCCTGCTAGGGACCCTCCCTACGCCTCCCCCCCTGCCCTCGCCTGCCCCTCCACCCCCCTTTTCCTGCCCCAGTGCCCCGCCAATATCTTTTCCATCAGACCCACCCTAGTACGCAGCCCCTCTTGGGAGTCTTTACTCCCCTCTCTCATGGCTGCTGTGTTTTCTTCCCTAAATGATAACAGCTCTTTGGGGAGTGTCCTTTTTTCCTCCTAATACAAGTAATATGTGCTTGTTGCAAACATTTTAGAACTTCTGAACCAGTATAATGAAGTAAATTAAAATCATGTATAATCCCACCTCCAGAGAGATCTCTCAGCTCTTACCATGCCGGCGTATCTGCCTGTGCCCCGTGCGTGTGTGCGTGTGGGTGAGAACAGGGTCCTGCCCTCTCGTTTTATTTGCTTAGAGTGATGACTCACAGTAACAAGGATGTATTTGGGAGATGATTTTGAACTTTTTTTTTTTAACTTCAAATGAACAAACAGACATGAAAAAACATGTTTTGAAGAAGGCGAGGATAAATCTTTTCTTTCCTTCCTTTTTTCAGAAAGGACATATTATTCACTTTATTATCCAACAGTTTTCTTGAATTTTCCTATTTTTTAAAAATTGAAGTGAGACTCACATAACATCAAGTTAACATTGAAGTGAACATTCTGCGGCCTTCAGTGCATTCCCAGTGCTGTCCTCGCCACCACCGTCCGGCTCGGTCCATCCCCGCAGAGGGAAGCCCCGCAGCCATCAGCCTGCGCTCCCCGCTGGGACCCCTTACCTGCTTTCTGTCTCTACGGACTTGCTTATTCTGGACACTTCATGTAAATGGATTCCTATAACGTGGGACCTTCTGTGTCTACCCAAAGCTTTAAAGGCACATAGAAGCTGAAAGACTGGCTCAGGGAGCGTCCGGATTCTGACCGCCCAGCCCGGACCGGGGGCATGTGCAGGACTTGCTGTCTCGCCTGCCCGTCGGCGTGTGTGTGCTTTTTTAGATACACCAGTGCCTGTGATTTGTTTCTACTTTAAAAAACCTTTTTATTGAAGTATGATGTACCTAAGGTACATAGAAAGTGTCCAAATGTTAAGAGTCCCCCCTGCGCCCAGCCATCAAAGTTACCCGCATTCAAGTCAAGATAGAGAACAGCTCCCGGGGCGTCCCTGTGACCCTCCCGGTCAGAGTCCCCAAGAGGCCACTCCTCGGCTGGCCTTCCCGTCCTGATCAGTCTGCCGACTGGTTCCCCGGGTGTTCTCTCCTCTGGGCCAGGCTTTGAGAGGCCTTGTGCTCCCACCCGGCACTCCCGGCCCCACTGGCCTTCTGACCCACAGGCCTCCCCTCCAAGCCCCTCGGCCCACGCTGAGTTGGTCAGGGAAGATGGGCTGGACACCTTTCCTCTCTCCGAAGGGAAGTCGAGTCTTTTACTCTGTACCAGGCGCTACATCGCCTCCATTCACTTCTTTTCCCTTTTGCGGTTGCTTCCTTTCTTTTCCTTTTTTAACCGCTTTATGGAGGCACATTTTAAGTATCATAAAATGTTCCCACTTCAAGTGTCCACCACAGTGATTTTTAGTGACTTCGCCGAGTGGCATGGCCATTTCCATAGATCAGCTTCAGAACGTCTTCATCCCCTCGTAGAATCTCTTGGGCGCATTTACGGTGCAGGCCTGTTGCACCCCAGCCCCTGGGCAAGCACACTCATCTGCTTTCTGCCTCGATGGGTCAGCTGGTTCAGGGCAGTTCACAGAAACAGGATCCTCTGTGTCCCCTCCTCTTCCTTGGGAGGTTCCATCATTTTACTGCTGAGAGAGTTCTCTGGGATGCCTCTTCTGTAGCAGGCATTTTTCTTGTTCCCATTGCAGAGATGGGGACGCTGAGACCCAGCCAGGGGAGGGATGTCCGCCTTCAGGCCCCCAAGTAACCCTCGTCTGTCCTCAGCCATCACTGCCTCGTCATTGCATCGCCTCCCCCTCGCGGTGTCCAGCCAAGCTCCACGAGTGTTGACTGGGATTAATGGGTGGTGGTTGGAAACCTGCTGCCCTGACCGCCATTCATTGCTCTTCCCTAAACAAGCAGAGACCCTGGATTCATCAGTGACTTAGTGGTTGTACCTAACACCCACCACCGTTCATTCTCACCATCTGCGCTGGTACCGCCTGGTGGGGGACACTCTCAGATGTCACCCCGTGCCTGTTGTGCCTGCTGGCTGCCCTCCCGTCTTGAACCCTCCCCCTGCAGAGGCCCCACGCTTCCCCTTTAAGGATGGGTGGGGCCATGTTGCTTCCTGCCTCCCTGCCTGCCTCCCTCTTGCTCCCATCCAGCCTTCTAGCCCCTGTGGGTTCAGTCACAGCTTGCCCTTTCCTGCCTCAGGGCCTTTGCATAGGTTGTTCCCTCTGCCCAGGACACTCTTCTCTCTGTCCTTCATTCTTAGCTTGTGTCACTGCCTCATAAGGGCCTCACCGACTCCCAGAGCTAAAGCCGGTTCTCCTCATTCCACCTGACATGTGTTTCCCTGGCAAACACCCACTTGTGTGAACTTGAAATCACCTTTGGGAGGTTCATCTGTTGACTGGCCTTTCTGGTGTCTCCTGGACCTGGCTGGCCCAGGGAGCTGCCCCCTCCTCCCAGCCTACCTGCAGTGCCCACTGAGTCCCTGTCCTCTGTCCCCACCTCTATCTCATGGTTCCCGCAGGACCTGGCCCGGCTGCAGGAGGGCCAGCAGCTCGCGCACCGGGATGTGACCCTGCAGAAGGTGTCGGACTCTGAGAAGCTGCTGTATTTGCTGGAGGCAGACTCAGCCATCGCCAAGCAGATGAGGCATCCCCAGGGGGACATGATCGCGGAAGAGTAGGTCCCTCTGGTTGGGGTCTCTGGGGAGCCCCTCTGGGCCAGGGAGGAGGGCTGTAGCCTGCTCAGGAGTCCACGTCAGGGTTTCCTGAGGGCCACCTAGATGCCGGGCACGTGCCCAGTGGCTTTTTGTTATCGTCGTGACAGCCCAGTTTGCAGCCAGGGAAACTGAGGCTCAGAGTGCTGATCCCACCGTGCTGGTTGTAGTGCAGCCACAGCTCCTGACCCCTGCGCTGTCTGACCTCCAGGCTTTGGCGCATGAGCTCCCACTCCTGGAGGCCTGGCCAGCCTCCCGTGCCCACTGCTCTCACCTCGCTCAGGTGTGGGTGAATCAGCACCCAAGACACGTCCCTTGGCCCCCTCTGACCCCGCCCCACCCTTGGCAGCGGCACGGGTCCCTGCATGCCCCCTGACTGCCTGCACTGTCCCTCTCATGGCCCACACCACCCCCGTAGCACCTGCTGGACGGTGGACCCTGGAGAGCAGCAGGCACACCTTAGGCCCCGGGAAACGTGGAGGGAGCATGGACAGGAGGAGGAGGGTGCCAGTGCTCGGAGCCCACGGCCCCAGTCACACTGCCCTTCCAGGCACTGAGCAGCGTCCTGGGGGGGGGAGGCGGGCCTGCGGGGGGCAGGCAGTGCCCCTGCCAATGATCCCGCTGACCAGGGTGGCTGCTCTGCCCACTCAGCATCCGGCAGCTGAAGGAGCGTGTGACCGACCTCCACAGGAAACACAAGCAGATCTACAGCCTGTCCGTGAAGGAGGTGGACCCACAGGTCAACTGGGCGGCACTCGTGGAGGAAAAGCTGGTATGGGCTTGGCTTCAGCTGGGGGGGGGCTGTGTGTGCACAGAGGACCCCACCGTCTGACAGATACTACAGTCCTGCCGGGGGAAGGCGGGGAGAGTCGTGTTCTCGATTTTCCTGATGTTTCTGTTGATGAGAAGAGTAAGGCTCAGAGAGGTGTGTCACATAGCTGAAGGTCACACAGCAGAAGTGGAGACTGGGACCCTCCTGGGATCACCCCGTAACCCCCAGCTTGTTGGGGTCCTGGCAGGCTGAAGGCAGGAGTCTGGGAGCCTGGCAGACTCCCCCAGCCATCTGTGACGTGAGTGGAGACCGTGTGGGCCTTGGAAGTTGCAGTGAGATTAAACATGATGACAGGATAGATGGGATGGTGGAGGTGACAGCCGCTCCCTGCGTCTCTCCGGGGTCACAGGGTGGGCTGAGTCCCAGCCCCCCTGATCACCACTGTCTCTCTGGCCGCCACCCCCCAGGATAAGCTGAGCAGCCAGAGCTTCGGGACGGACCTGCTGCTGGTGGACCAGCAGGTGGAGAAGCACAATATCTTCCACAACGAGGTCAAGGCCATCGGGCCTCACCTGGCCAAGGACTGGGGCAAGGTGGGCACCTGCAGGGGAGTGGACCCCGGGAGGGAGGGGCTCGCCTACAGCCCCACCCTGACCTGTGCCCTTGGCTCTGTCCTCAGGAGCAGAACAGTGACCTCCAGGCCAAGTACCAGAAACTGCTGGTGAGCAGCCCCCAGGGAACACGACGGGCGGAGTGGGAAGCTGGGGCTGCAGGGACAGGAAGCGTGAGGTTAACATGCCAGAAGCAGAGGAGACCGAGTGGCCGGAGATGGTCCCCAAACCCCTTCCTGAGAGGCGCCCTGGATTGCCCGGAGCTCTCAGAAAACCCGAATAGACGCTGCAGATGCGGCCTGTCCTGCAGTTTGCTTATTTCCTTATTAAGCATCCTGTGTGTGCCGAGTACGATGCTTGTGCTTTCTAAGAAGAAATTCTTATTTCCCTTTTTCAAAACCTTTAAAGAATGTTCCTTTTAAAACTACACGTGCAATGTGTAAATGCGCTCCCATTGCACACATTTCAAATGCATGGGACGGGACAATGCTGAGATGGTAGAGTACAGCCACGTGGGGGCTCCAGAGCTGCACCGCCTCTGTGGACCCTTGGTGGGGAGACCGTGGGTGAGCTGCTTGGCCTCATTTTCCTCATCTGTGAGCTGGAGTCACTTTGAGTGCCTGGTCTCTGAGGATTGCTGTGAGGATTGCACTAATGTCGAAGACCTTAGGGCAGTTCCGGCACGTGGCGGGCCCCACGTATGTGTTCTTACTTGCAGAGCAAAACGCAAACACCCTCCTTCCTTCCCCTGCAGCCTCCCCTGTGCCCCACCTCTTCTCATACATAAAACGGTAGCACTTTGCTTCTGACATTCCGCCTTCTACATGGTGATCTTGATAGAGATAAAAACATTCGTGGCAGTTGTTGATGCTTATTGAGCACCAGCTGCATGCCAGCCTCTGTGCTCTAGGAGATCGCCCGTGTTGTCATGCCCATTTTGCAGATGAGGAAGCTAAGGCCCCACAGAGATGCCAGTTCCACAAGGGCCTCATCTGTGTGTTCCGTGGCTGTATCCGCGGTGCCTGGAGTGATGCCTGGCACTTAGCAGATGCTCAGTAAACATTTGCTGAAGGAATGCACAAGTCTCGGAGGGTTGGGTGACTGGTCCGTGGGAGGCCAGCCAGGGATGGGCAAGCTGGGCTTGTTGCCGGGCTGGCAGGTGCCCAGCCCCGCAGGAGGTATGCCGGGAGGCCTCAGCTCTGTCCCTGCTCCACAGGCAGCTTCTGAGGCTCGGCAGCGGCACCTGAGCTCACTGCAGGACTACATGCAGCGCTGCACCAACGAGCTGTACTGGCTGGACCAGCAGGCGCACGACCGCATGCAGTACGACTGGAGTGACCGCAATCTGGACTACCCCAGCCGCCGGCGCCAGTATGAGGTGGGTGCTGGGGCCCGGGAGCGGGCCGGGAAGGGGCACGGGGCTGCCAGCCAGTGCTGAGCCCTCTCCACGCCTCCCAATGCAGAATTTCATCAACCGGAACCTGGAGGCCAAAGAGGAGAGAATCAATAAGCTGCACAGCGAGGGTGACCAGCTGCTGGCCGCCGAGCACCCCGGGAGGAACTCCATTGAGGTGCGTGTGCCCCTGGAGGGGATGCTTCCTCCAGGGTGGCCTCGGGGCAGCCTCTGCTGTGGGCTGCCCAGGACTTGGGCAGTCCCCCGAGGTGGGGACATCCTGTGTCCTCTGTCTTTCCGTTTTTGCCGTCTTACCTTGCTCTGTCCAATCCTGCCTCCTCTCATCTTGATCCTCTACCGCAGCCGGGCGTCCCTCAGTCTCCAAGGGCTGCCATAGTAAGTGACCACTTGGTGGCTTTGAGCGACAGAAACTGATTCTCTCACATAAAGCCTGGAGGCCAGAAGTTTGAAATGAAGGTGTCGGCAGGCTTGTCCCCTCTGAAGGCCCTGGGGAGAGGCCTTCCCTGCCTCGCTCCTGGCTGCTGGCAGTTCACCAGGAGCCTCGGTGTGCCCGGGCTTGGGGCTGCATCGCCTCTCTGTCTGTGCATGACCTTCTCCCTCACTGTGTGTCAGCTCCTTCTCTTACAAGGACACCAGTCATTGGGTTTAGGATCCACCCTAAGCCCTGGGTGATTTCATCTTGAGATCCTTAAGCAATTACCTGTGCAAAGACCCTGTTTCCAAATAAAGTCGCATTCTGCAGTCTGGGTGGACACGACTTTGGGAAAGGGAGGTACCATCATTCAGCCCCTACAGTAACCTTTGTGAGAATTTTTAAAAAGCACCGCTTTGGGCAGACACAGCCCCTACTTGTCACTTGCCCAGTACATGGCTGCCCTGCTTGGCTCCTCAACATATCCCCTGTCTTCCCTGCCCACCCCTGGACAGGAGCTGGCCGCCTCTGTAGGAGCCACAGTGAGGCAGACACCAGGTGCCCCTGCCCCCCACTCCTCCCTCAGCATCCCGGGCACCGGCCCAGCGGTGACCTGCCCCCCACCCCCCACCCCCCTCGCAGGCGCACATGGAGGCTGTGCACGCAGACTGGAAGGAGTACCTGAGCCTGCTCATCTGCGAGGAGAGCCACCTGAAGCACATGGAGGACTACCACCAGGTGCCCGCTGGCCCCAGGGCCTTACTGGGAGCTCTCGGGGCCTCTGTGCCTGTCACTCAAGGCCATGGCGCTGATTCCTCAGGTGCCGAGCGGGGCCGCCTTCCCAGGCCTCCCAGTGCCCACGCTTCTGATGGCGTGCGCGAGTGTGCCCTAAGCTCTCCAGACCCATATCTGTCTTCCCTGCAGGCAGGGGCTGGAGAATCTGATCCACTGGTCAGCATGGGGCCCGGAATGAGCGTGTGGGGTTTTCATTTTGGTAAAATATATGTGACATGAAATTAGTCATTCTCCATAATGATGGGTGGCACTCACTACGTTCACAGCATTATGTAGCCGCCAGCACTGTCCTTCCAAAGCCTTTTTACCACCCTGAACAGGACCTCTGGGCCCATCAGACACTTGCTCCCCAGCTCCTGGTAACCTCTACTTCCTTTCTCTGTGGATTAGCTGTTCTAGATTTCATACACACGGAATCACATGCTCTGCGCCTTTTGGTATCTGGCCTCTCTCACTGAGTGTGTTTTCCTAGTTTATGCTCATTGTAGCAGCACTTTTTATGGCTGAATAATATTCCACCGTGTGGCCGGACCTCATTGTGTCTGCCCGTTCTGCCATTGATGGGCGCCGGGCTGTGCCCACGGGAGTGCGCTCACAAGAGCTGCAGGTGATCATGACCGGGGACTCTTGAACTCAGTAAAGTAAATTCTGGTTTGGTGTCTAAGTCCTGCTGGGCTGTGCACTCACAGGGATCCCACAGTCCGCTCATGGCTGCAGCCCAGGGGACAGATGACAATGAATGACTCCAGAGGTGATACACTGAAGAATGGATGAGAGAATTGTCTAGAACAAAGCGGAGAGGGTTGTCTTACGTGTGTCAAGAATTAGAAAGTATAGCATTAAGTTAGGGTGTCCCTGGCACAAAGAGAAGAAAGTGATAGAACTTAGAGTTTGGCGGTGTGTATGTATGAAACCTTAACATGTGGGTTGGTGCAGAGGGGCCTGGCTTCCTCCCCACGAGGCCCCGAGGAAGCCGGGCCAGGGGGGCTGGGGGTGCCCCAAGCCGCCTGGCCTGTAGATCCCAGGGCTCGGGGAGGCCCAGCCCCACCCAGGGGTGGGCTTGAAGCCACAGCCGGGATTAGCCTGAGTGTCCTGTGTTTTCCCATCCATAACGGGGCTCCCTGGTCTCCCCTAGTTCCACAAAGACATGAAGGATGCTCTGGAGCTGCTGTGCAAGGTGGACTCAGACCTGGACCAGAAGTACAACCCTGACTTCAAGGACCGATTCCAGATTGAGCTGCTGCTGCAGGGGCTGAGTGTGAGTGACGGGCCACTGGGGCCTGCCCGCAGCTGCTGCCCACCCGCCCGCCCGCAGGGCAGAGCCGTGTGGCCTCAACGGGCGCTCCCCCTGTGCTCAGGACCAGGAGGAGGCTCTGGACAAGTATGAGCACGTGGTGCGGGCCCTGCAGAAGCGAGGGCAGCGGGTGGTGCCCCTCAGGTACCGCCGGGAGACGCCGCTTCAGCCCATCCCTGTGGAGGCGCTCTGTGACTTTGAGGGTGACCAGGTGAGGCCGGCCCACCCCACCTGCCTCTGTCCATGGCACTGAAAAGGCTTGGTGGTGACATGGCCGGATGCGGGCCTCACATGTCAGGAGCTAGTGCCCACCTGCTGTTGGAGTCCCTGCCAGCCCCACGCCCTCCGCCAGCTGCCCTGGCCCTCTGTGGTGGGGGCTCCAAAAAGGGGAATGCCGGTGGTGCTGGGCCCACAGGCCCACCACATCCCCTCCGTGGGGCCCCTTTCCACTGCCTATGGCACAACCTCTTCAGGAGGGCCTGAGAGACAGCTCCCCAGGTCCAAGACGGGAGGCGCGGCTGGTGACAGGGCCCAGCCAGACGGGCAGGCCTCTCCCTGCATCCCAACTGGTTTGCCCCTGCCAGGGCCCGATCTCCCGGGGCTGCAGCTACACCCTGCAGAGCAACAATGGGGAGAGCTGGGACCTCACCGACAGTGCGGGGAACAAGCTGAGTGCCCCCGCCGTCTGCTTCACGATCCTCCCCACCGACCCCGAGGCCCGGGCTCTGGCTGACAGGTACTGGGGCAGGGGAGCCGGGTGCGCGGGCGCCCTATCCCCCACCCCTCAGGCCCCGTTCACAGCCCCGGCCTCCTGGCCCAGCCTCAGGCCCCGCACCCCCTGGAGGTACGGGAGGGAGAGACGCTGTCGCCTGCCAGCCTGCTTATGTGAGCGTCCGGCGGTGGGCACAGGCCTCCACAGGTGTCTCTCGGCTTTTGCGCCTGCTGCTCCCACTACCCAGCCACCTGCCTGCAGCCTGTGTGGCTCAGGCCCCTCAACTTAGGACTCAGCTCTGGGGTCCCTCTTGTGGGAAGCCTCCCCTGGCTGCCCCTCGCCCCCCACCCTGGCCCCAGGGATGGGGCTGCCCCTCGGCTCCCGAGCGCCTTCTCCCACTGCATGTACTGCTGGCGGGATGCCCTGTGTGTGCATCCATCTCACCGGGCAGGGCTTCTTGGGGTTCACTGTCTCCAGGCCTTGCTCAGCGCAGAGCACCCCAGAACGCCTCAATGTATTGGTGACTCAAGGAAGGCCTTCACGTATTCATTCAGCACGTATTGATTGAGCACCTACTGTGTACTGCTCCCTCAGGGAGCACCTTGGTGGGGAAGACAGGACCAGGGATAATTTTAGGTAGTGAGACTTGCTATGAAGAAAAAAGAGGAAAGGAGAGAGAGAAGGAAGGGGGTCCGTGTGAAAGCGGAAGGGAGGAAGACAGCATCACGGCGAATCCACTGCGTGTACTGGCTTCTCAGAGCGTGTGGTGAGCCGTGTGACTCCTCTGGGCCGTGTGCCCAGCCAGAGGCCAGGGCTCCTGCGTCTGGTTGGAGGGGGACTGGGCTGCCCTGGCCCCAGCCCACCTTTGCTCCCACAGCCTGGACAGCCGGTTCCGGAGCGTGCAGCAGAAGGCAGCGGGCAGCAGAGGTGCCCTCCAGCAGCGCTACGAGGTGCTGAAAGCAGAGAACCCCGGAGGTGGGTGCTGGGCCACTGCCCGAGGCTCTAGGGGGACACGAGGGGAACGCTGAACCCAGTGTCTGTGCTGCAGATGGGAACGTGGGTCAGTCATGGGGGTGTGCGGCTGGGCTGGCCCTTCCCTGGGCCTCACACCCTCCCCTGCCACGTGCTTCTCTCATTTCCCTCTGGCAGATGCTTCCGACTTGCAGGGGCGGCAGCTGCTCGCTGGCCTGGACAAGGTGGCCAGCGACCTGGACCGGCAGGAGAAGGCCATCACGGGGATCCTGCGGCCGCCACTGGAGCAGGGCCGCGCGGTGCAGGACAGCGCCGAGCGGGCCAAGGACCTCAAGGTACTGCCCGCTGGGGACACGGGCTGGCCCCTTGGGGCCCTGCTCAAGATCTCATCCCTGTGGGGGTCCTGGTGCTCAATGGGGACCACCTGCCACATGTACCCTTAGTCATGATCTGTGGCAGTCGGGGGGCTGCTGTAGGTTGAGGATTGAGGAGATGCCTGTGTCTTAGCACCCCAGACACATCCCCAAGAGGAAGAGCTGGTGAGGCCCCAGCTCCCCGTGCACGGCTTGTCACCTGCGGGCTCACAGCGGCACCCAGGGCAGCAGTGACTGCGGCCTGAATAGCTCAGCACTGAGCCCGGGGGAGGCTGCGGTGCCCGGCAGCACACGGGCTTCCGAGTTACAGAGCTGCTCGCTGGTTGCTTGGCCACAGACATGTTATTTAAGCCCAAGCCTCAGTTTCTTCCGCAAAATAAGCTGGTCCCCACTCTGGGGGCCTCAGAAGGACGGAGCAAGACGATGCATGTGGGTGCCGTCCACCACCCCCCTTTCACCCCCAGCCTCTCAAGTCCTCAGTGCCTGCTCTCTGAGGGAAGCATGGCCTTTCCTGGTTTACAGAGAAGGCACTGGCCCTTGATGCGGCCTTACATCAGGGCTGGTAGGGACCGAGTTGGGGCCCAGAGGACACTCAGCAGTGGGCAGTCAGAGGGGCTCCGGCACCGCCCTTCCTACGCTGTTTGGAGGTGTAGGATTCGCACCCTGAATGGGAGGGCAAGTACCTGCCTCACAGGGTTGTGTCCCCAGCAGGTTCAGCTGTCCCCTGAGGTATGGTCGTGCCCCAGGGGGCAGGGTGCCACCCAGGTGCGGCCAACACGAGGGTCTCTGGTCCCCACAGAACATCACCAATGAGCTGCTGCGGATTGAGCCTGAGAAGGTGCGCAGCGTGGCGGAGGGCGAGGCGTTCGTGCGGGCCCTCCCAGGCAGCGGCAGTGCGCCCCTGCTGAGGACCCGGGTGGAGGACACCGAGCGCAGATACGAGCGCCTGGCACAGCTGCTGCACTCGGCCCAGGAGAAGTGGGTGCCGGCGGGCAGCGGGGAGCGGGGCGGTGCCAAGAGGCCAGGCAGGCACCCCCTACCTCGACCCCTGACCATGTCCTCAGGTTAGATGTCGCCAACCGCCTGGAGAAGAGCCTGCAGCAGGGCTGGGAGGTGCTGGCTGTGTTCGAGAACCAGCTAGCCCAGGATGACACGGTGCCCGAGCCCGGCCCCGCCTTGGACAGCAGGAGGCAGGAGCTGGTGGTGAGTCTGGGGACCTTGGGCCTCAGGAGCCCTTCTGTAAAGGTGCTCCCACCCCAGCACCTCTGGACAGAAGAGGGCACCAGGGCAGGGACCCTCCAGGTTTGGAACGCCTGCACTGTGCCAAACTGTAAGTTGCAAACAGAGGCCCATGGCACAGATCCCAGCTGCTCATGGTGTGTGTGTATTCTCCAGTAAACTCTCTGCGTAGCCCCCTGGTTCTATGTGCTCAGGGCAGGTCGGCGCCAGCATCTGCTGTCTTCACACGCCTGTGTGGCCGTCGTAGGCAGTCTGTGCCCCTGCGGAGGCCCCTTTCTCATACACCAGCTCACTGAGTGCCCTTGTTGAGTCCCCACCTCGGAGCTGAGGAAGTTGGCTCGGACAGTGGAGCCTTCCTGGGGCCTTCAGGCTGGGCAGCTGCCAGCCCCTCCAGTGCTGGGCATGGTGTCACAGGGCACGTGTTCCCTGGGCCACCAGCTCCCGAAGCAGGAGGCCCTGGGCGCTGGGTGGTGCTGCCTGGCCCCTGGAAGTTCTGGCCGCAGCGCCTTCCCTCGGCCCCTCCACCCCGGCAGGCCCTGGTCTCCGAGCTGCAGGCCCAGAAGTCCCTCCTGGCTGAGGTGGAGCAGAACCTGCAGGCAGCCAGGCAGTGCTCCAGCTTGCTGGCCAGCCGTTTCCAGGAGCACTGCCCCGACCTGGAGCGCCAAGAGGCCGAGGCGCACAAGCTGCGCCAGCGCTTCGACAACCTCTGCCAGCAGGTTGAGCTCAGGTGAGGGGCCGTCTGTGGGCGGTCGCGGCCTGGGCTTGGCTAGTCTGCTCAGGCCGCTAGAGGCTGCTTTCTGAATAACTCTTCTGAGAAAAGCAATAATACATGAACAAGTCAAGGCGACCATCATGCCCAGCCCTTCCCACCCCAGGTAAGCCCCGCTAGCCTCCGGGGACCCGTCCAGAATCGCTGTGCCCGGCTGGGCAGGTAGGCGGCGCTCGGGAGACGCCACCCTGGGTACTCTGCCCAGCTGTTTTCCTGTCGCGTGTCCTGCCAGCCTCTGGGTCGTTAAGTAGTCCCTCCCCTCCTCTTCACTCTTTGGAAGGCTTGTGCGGAATTGAATTGCTTCCTCAGATGCCAGGTCGGATTCCCCAGTGATGTGTGGGACGGATTCTAACACAGACTCAGCCTCTGACAGACACTGGACACTAGGTCATCCAGTTCATGAACCAGCTTCCCTAGATGGTGTCTCTGGAGGAAATTTGTCCATCTCATCAAATTGTTGAATTCTTTGGCATAGAATTGTCCATTGTATTCTCTAATCCTTTTACTGTCTGCAAGGTCTTGAGGGGGTGTCCTCTCTCATTCCTAATGTTCGAGCTTCTGTCCTCGTATCGGTCTGTCCTTTCCTCCCCAGGCATTCTGGCTGAGGTCTATCAGCTTATCGACAGTCTCGAAGCACTGGCTTCGGCTCCTGCGCGCTCTCCGGTCTCCTGTTTCCGTTCCCACCTGCCCTTATCTGTTTCCTGCTGCTGCTCACGTTCAGTTCAGTCTGCCCTGCTGAAGGCGGAAGCCTGGGCTGCTGATCTGAGAGCTGCCTTCTCGAACGCAAGCATTTAATGCCACATAGTTCCCTCTAAGCACTGCCTTTGCCGGGCTCCACAGATTCTGACATTTTTTTTGAGCTCAGAGCTCAGAAGACTTCCTCACCTCCTGTGTGGTTTCTCCTTCACCTGGTAGGCTATGCAGGTCCCGTGACACACAGTGGGCATCTCTGTGGTTCACCTAGTAGGTTACACAGGTCCCGTGACACACAGTGGGCATCTCTGTGGTTCAGTACACGTGGGCCAACCTGCCCCTTAAAAGCAGTGGAGCACGCCAACTTCACATCATAATTCATTAACTTCTCCCTAGGTTATGCCATTTAAATTACACCTGGTGTCTGCCCCCAAACCCCACACATGCTTTTGAAAAATGAGCACAGATGACTTCCTTACAAAGGGATGGGGGTAGCTTTCAGTGAGGCACCTCCTTGCCGTGCCGGAGGCCTGACTGTCTTTGCGCCCACAGGGCCCGGAGCCTGCAGAGCGCCAGGGCCGCTTACGACGACTACCGCGCTGGCTGCGACCGTGTGCTCCACCTCCTGTCCTGCACCCCCAGCTATGAGCCCCGGGAGACAGACAGCCTCAGCCAGGTGGAGACCAAGCTGAACAATCAGAAGGTAGGCGGCCGCCCCCACCATCACAGGCACGCAGTGGCAGGGGGTCAGCAGGCTGTGGCTGCCGCTCACCAGTGGGTGCTGGGCAAGGCCTGGAGGAGCTGTGCCCTCATGGGGCCCTGGCTCCCAGTGCCTGCAAGGATAGCCTCGCTCACCCCTCCCTGCTCAGTGCCCTGCACGGGGCCTGGTCGGCTGGATGCAATGCCTCAGGCCAGCTGAGTGGGCGAGTGGCTGCAGAAGCGCCCGCAGAGCCCTGCTGGGGAGCAAGCCCACCTCCACAAAGTTCACAGTCCTGGCGCCTCAGAGGGCAGCGATGCCCCGGCCTGAGAGACGACATGGGGCCCGGGAGCCTAGATGCAGAATCCCAGTACCCCCACTAGCCACGTCCCCACGGCAGGTCCCTGGACTCCGGGTGCCTCGGGCTCCTCACGCAGCTGGAGGCAGTGACGGGGCTTACCTCCAGGGCTGCTGGCAGGGCAGACGCGAGAGCTTAAGGGACAGGCCAGAGCAGTGCCCGACGGGTGACTCGCACATGTTCGTTTCCTGAGAGGATAATTACCTTCTTGACCCTTCTTCACAGGCCCCAGAACTGCCTTTTGTAACACACGACTGTATACGAGGAAGCCATTCATTATACTTTGTGCTACAGAAGAGTACCTTCAGATTCGAAGGAATCCAGCTACTTGATCTTTTAAGTCTCTGTCGTTTTACAGAACCTGCTGGATGAAGTAGCGGGAAGGGAGCAGGAGGTGCAGAGCATCTGCGCCCTCTCCCGGCGGTACCAGCAGGCTGTCAAGGTGGGCCACCTGCCTGTGGCGGGGACCAGCAGGGGCCTCCTTCCTCCGAGTGGGCTGGGGGAGGGCCCTGCGCCTGGCATGGTCGTCCCAGGCACTGCGGGCAGCTGTGCAGATGGGCACAGCCCTTTGGGGGAACCGTATGGTGCCAGACATCAGATGCCAGGAAAGGGTTTCCTACTATTTGAAGCAGTAAACTGGGGGGATTTATCCTGAAGGGATAAATAGAAAAGTGCAGGATAAACAAAACCATTGTCCCAGTGTTCTTTACACACCAGCAGAACACTCTAGAAAGAGCCTGCGAGCCCAGAGCAGAGAGAGGAATGGGCATGTGAATTATCTGTCTACTTGATGGATTACAAAGTCATCAAATAGATCAATAGGAGGATTAGAAGGTGGTAACAGGAGAAAAGGGTTAAATGAAGAAAGCAAAATGTC